AAGCCAGCAAGTCAGTGAGAGGTGGCCAGGTAGGCAGGCAGGGCAAGCATGGTGTGGATGGGCGGGGTGAGAGAGAGAGAACGATTGAAGACCAGGCTCACAGGGGGAGCGAGTGGGGACAGGCCAGGGGACTGTACCCATTCGGGAGTGTGACCAGGCTGCCATTGCTACCGGTTCGGAAAGGTACCTATTTGGGTGAACTGGACCGAACCGGACCGAACCCATCTCTGGTACTCTGACTGTCCTTGACATAATTAACCTACCTCAAAGTATCTAGCAACTGGGGGACCTTTATACTGACACTCAGCTATTTTTGAAGGCTGATGCAGGAAATTCATTACCCAGAAAGGTAATGTCGCTATGACTATAGGAATAGAGAAACAACCAAACGTGTTGTTCTCCACTGCCTGTATTGCAAAGACATTTGTGCTAACCTCCTTTCACCATTTCACTATCACTGTATAAATATCCAGGGCACACAGGACATTTTTATATTTCTCTGCTTGTGACAATATACAATGTTGCCAATCCTGGGTAGGACTTTATCATTTTTAATAAGTCTAATTAAGAAAAGCTCTTGGTAACAAATAACAGAGTGATTCAGTCTTTATATCTTACTAATAGTTTAAAAAAATGGAATGTACAGTAGTGCTTAAAATTTATCAGACAGTTGCCTCAAAATAGCCTTAATGCATATTTAAATTGTTAGTTAAGAGTGTTTTGTATTACAATAGATTTAGCCATTTTTCTTATTCATTCAAATTTGCATCATTCTCTAACTAATAATCATCAATTGATTGTTATGTTACTTTATAAACCAATGCTCAGTTGTATTCATATTTTAATGTCATTTTGCAATTGTTTAATCTCCACATAGATTATCAGGAAACAAGGGAAAGGTCTTACACAGCATTTTGTCTAATGCTATGGTATGAACTGGCACTGTCTACTAAATTGCTGAGAAATCCCCAATCACCTCTTGAAATCTTCCTAATCTAAAAGGTGACTAGACCACACCATCCTAAATGGTTCTTCTCATTTGTAGAGTTCTAGGATACCGAGAGTCTTCAGTTTCACAATGGCAAAGGGCCAATAGCAATACATTCCATGTTCAGTTCCTGTCTATTTGCTTTGAAGTAAAAACAAAGCCCTGAGTATAGGCTCAGCTACATGAATCATAGCAACAACCCATTTGCAAGCTTATGGTTGCCATTAAGGGCATGAACTCATGACCCAGTCTAGACTCTTCTCCCAGCAAATAAGGATCCCATTGCCAGCCTCAAGATGATCCCTAATGCTATTATACTATGAAGTGATACATGTAATTATCTTAATATGGATAATTTAAAAAACATTTTAAAACCCAGAAAAAATAGATTAGATGTCACTTACCTCATAGCGATGTCTATGTCGTTCTTCCACAAAAGCTTCATTGCCATAAAGATTCCCTTTAAAAAAAAATCACAAGCTTTTAAAAATACTCTGCTACTAACATTGTTTGTTTGCATCCTAATAATTTCTAATCAATTCTCCAAAAGCTTGAGTACACAAACATTGTTCAGCAATCCAATACATAAGATTCATATCCTTGAATTTGAGTTATTTGGGTCTATTCTCCTCTCACCCTCCAGAGGGAAGGCAAAGATAAGACGACACTCCAATTACGAGTCATGAAATGAAGAGAGAAACATATACAGTATGTTAAAAAGGGATTCCTCAAGAGAAGGGGTGTCAAACTCAATTTCATTGAGTGCTGCATCAAGGATGATGCCACTCACTGGGTGTGGCCGAATGGGCATGGCCAGCTTGATGCCACTCCCCAAACTGCTGGCATGTTCCCTCTTCACACTGGGTAGGCCGGACTGAAGCGATGTGGGACGGCCTGTTAGATTTTCCAAGATGGCCCCACGGGTTGGATCCGACCACATCGTGGCCTTGTGTTTGACACCCCTGCTCAAGTGAGTTGTGCTGAGGAAGATAAAAAATCGATTCCAGTACCACTAGGTGAATAAAGAGAGACACTTTTCAGAAAGTACTTTGAGGTAGTAAAATATACATTCTTTATAAAGCTATGAAGGATACACTGTACAGAATATATTCTATTATAGAGTATACAATGTAATAGTGCATTGTATTAGTAAGTTCTTCATGACCTTGTGCTAGTCCAGAAGGCAAATCAGATACTTTTATGGCAATATTGATCCCTATTCTATATCTCTAATGAATTCACCATGTGTAAGTGGGTAGCCATATAAATTTGTTTAATAAATAAAATAATCTCCTATATAATTAGTATACCCCTATGGCAGCTGCTCGTATATAGGGAGCTGCAAATGTGATATGGATGGGAAGTCCGATGGGGGTGGGGAGAAAGAACATTCTATAAAAACCATTAGTCACAGCAGAAAATAGGAGTCAGACTCAATAACCATCTTTTCACTTAAAGTGATTCCATGCTTGCTTCAACCTCTTCCTAGTATATGGCAGACTCATCCATTAACTGTTGCAAAATAGCTCATATCAATTCTAATTTTTGCACTTGGTATTTATTTCCCCAACATAGTAGCTACTATAGCAGACATAAAAGTTATGCACTACAGTCCTTCCTCTCTATTTTTTTCTCAAGCTGACTTGAGTATTTGTGCAAGCTTTGCTCTGGAAAACAACCCTGATTTATTTTTTTGTTTATTTATAGAGCTGCTCAACTCTGTAGTGACTATAGGTAGCATACAAAGATTAAAAACACCACCATAACATATAAATCATGATGCCTTGGTTGAAACAACACCCCCCCCCCAACAAAAAGTCACATTGCCAGCAAAGTTCACCTAACCTCCTGGCCTTGTGTAAATTATATTGGTGCTCCAAGTTGAAGGCATGTAAGTTATTGGTGACATGACATAAACAGTCCATTGTGAAGAGCCCTTGGCAAGCTTCATGTCATGGCAACCATAATATGTGGGTATAAGCAGTCAGGGTCCCGCCTAACAACCCCATTACAAGCAGGGGTGGGTTTCAGGAGGTATGCCCTGGTACGCGCGTACCCATTCATCAAATTTAGGGTGTCTTCCAGTACCTGTTCTTCTAGAGGTTGCATACCAGAATGCTCCCTCCCATTGCCTGCTTCCTTGCTCACTCCCCTGCCCACCCAGTCGCCGCTCGCTTGCTCCACCTGTCTGCACCAGGCTTGCCCCACCAACAGCCGCCTCGTTACCAATAGGGGATGGGAAATCCATGCAGCGGGAGGGAAAATGCATGCATTCCCCACCCCCTCCATTGGAAACGAAGAGTCTGTCAGAGGGAAGAGAGCAGTGCACGCCACTTGGGTTTGTGCAGCAGGCGAGGAAGGAACAGGAGGTGAGGATTCGGCTGTTGCACAAGCCCACAGGCACGCACTGCCCTCTTCTCTCTGACAGTCACCTGGTTAAAAAGCCATCCCCATGGCATTTTTCCCTGGGGAGGGGGAGCTCCGCAGAACATCCTAAGACCGATGCCACCACTTCTGCCCTCTTTGAGGACAGATCCTCTTCAGAGGACGAGGCTTCACTGGTCCCCTTGTGTTGTGGAAAACATAGGCGCACGCACATCCTGCACAATTACAGCCCGGAGCAGGACAAAGGCCCCTCTCCAACTGGCCATTCCTCTCTCTGAGAGCTTCGGAGGGAAGCTTCTGCAGAAGCCCGGGTTAGTGAGAACAAGTTCCTGCCGTTACGAAGTCTCTGAGGCTGTAATTGTGCCAGGTGTGTGCGCACACTGTGCACCTATGTTTTCCGTGGTATGGATACTGGGATGGTCATGGGGCCCGATCGGGAACTTACCAGATGTCTGTCGTCAGATTCGGTTTTACTTTCCTCCGATGAGGAGGATGGTTCGTCTTCTCCTGGAGTAGGAGGGAATTGCGCAAAAGGCTCCACCCCTTTCATGGTGGCATCCCTTCTCTTCCCAGGCTGTTTATCTGGCTTTCTCTCTCCCCAGGCAGGGGGCTTTGGGCCCATCTTGGTGCAGCAGTTTGCTGCTTGGTGCCCCTCCTTCCTTCAATGGAAACAGGTGATTGACCGGGGCTTGCTTGCAGACCAGCTTTTCCCTCCTTTTGGAGCTCCTTGGGGGGGGTGGGGGGGAGGGGTAGCCTGTTCTTTCTCACTGTCTTCACAGTACTTGTCTCTGGCTAGGTCGATTTCCACGTCTGCTGCCAATTCATTCCAACATTGCAAGCTGCGGGGGAGGGGGCTGTTTACACGGTTCTGGTATATATCTTTGTTTAAACCATCCATGAAGCTGTCCATCAGGGCTTCTTTGGACCACCCCCACGTATAAACAGACAATTCACGAAACTCTTGTATATATAGTCAGCAACCGGGCTCTTTCCCTGGGTAAGGGTTTTCATTCTGGTTCTAGCCTTCCGCTCTGTGAGTGGATCATCAAAGCGTTTCCTCAGGGCGGCCATAAATCTATTATAGTCTCTCAGTAGGGGCAAGTCATCATTATGCAGGGCAACCATCCAAACTGCTGCCTTGTTCTCCAGCACCATGGTAACAACTCTTACCTTGGCTTCTTCTGTGGGGAGGTTCTCTCTGAACTGTTGCATGAAATTCCAGACCTGAACCAGGAAAAATCCCAGGTCTTTTGATTCCCCATCAAATTTCACACCAAGCAGAGGAACTTTAGCCATCCGGCTTCTGCGGG